GATCACCTGCTACAAGCTCAGGAGTGTTGCATCCCAACTAGAAGGAAGTGCAGCAGGAGGGCCAGGAGACCTCCTTGGATGGATAAGGAGCTCCTGACGAAAATTCAAAAAAAAAAAAGAGGCTTATAATAAGTGGAAGCAAGGACAGGCCTCCTGGGAAGAGTAAAGGGATGTTGTCCAGGAAGATAGGGACCAGCTTAAGAAAGCTAAGGCCCAGTCAGAATTAAACTTGGCTAGGGGTATTAAGGATAACAGGAAGGGATTCTACAGGTACATAGCAAATAAAAAACAGACTAGGGAGAACGTAGGCCCCCTCAGGAAGCTCTTGGGAGAACTGGCTACCCTGGATTTGGAGAAGGCTGAGGTTCTGAATGACTTCTTTGCCTCAGTCTTCACTGGCAAAGTCTCTGACCACACCACCCAAGTCTTGGAAAGCAGATGCAGGGACTGTGAGAATGAAGACCTTGTGCCCACTGTAGGAGAGGATCTGGTTCGAGACCATCTTAAAAATCTGAAAGTGCACAAGTCCATGGGTCCTGATGAGATCCTTCCGTGGGTTCTGAAGGAGCTGGCGAATGAGGTTGCTAAGCCGCTGGCCATCATATTTGAAAAATCATGGCAGTCGGGTGAAGTTTCCAACGACTGGAAAAAGGGAAATATAACCCCCATTTTCAAGAAGGGGAAAATGGATGACCGGGGGAATTACAGAGCAGTCAGTCTCACCTCTGTGCCTGGCAAAATCGTGGAGCAGATTCTCCTGGAAGGCATGCTAAGGCACATGAAAAACAACAAGGTGCTTGGTGACAGCCAGCATGGCTTCACTAAGGGGAAATCCTGCCTGACCAATTTGGTGGCCTTCTATGATGGGGCTACAGAACTGATGGACAGGGGTACAGCTGTTGACATCATCTACCTGGACTTGTGTAAAGCGTTCGACACTGTCCCACATGACATCCTTGTCTCTAAATTGGAGAGACATCAATTTGATGGATGGACCACTCGGTGGATAAAGAACTGGCTGGATGGCCACACGCAAAGAGTTGTGGTCAATGGCTCAATGTCTGGCTGGAGACCAGTAATGAATGGTATCCCTCAGGGATCGCTGTTGGGACCAGTCTTGTTCAACATCTTCGTCGCTGACATGGACAGTGGGATTGAGTGCGCCCTCAGCAAGTTTGCCGATGGCACCAAGGTGTGTGGTTCGGTTGATACACTGGAGGGAAGGAATGCCATCCAGAGGGACCTTGACATGCTTGTGGGGTGGGCTGATGCCAACCTTATGAAGTTTAACCATGACAAGTGCAAGGTTCTACACCTGGGTCTGAGCAATCCCAGGCACAGCTACAGGTTGGGCAGAGAAGAGATTCAGAGCAGCCCTGCGGAGAATGACTTGGGGATGTTGGTTGATGAGAAAATGAACATGAGCCGGCTTCAGTGTGCGCTTGCAGCCCAGAAAGCCAACCATATCCTGGGTTGCATCAAAAGGAGCGTGACCAGCAGGTCAAAGGAGGTGATCCTGCCCCTCTACTCTGCTCTTGTGAGACCTCACCTGGAGTATTGTGTGCAGTTCTGGTGTCCTCAACATAAAAAGGACATGGAACAGGTCCAGAGAAGGGCCACAAGGATGATCAGGGGACTGGAGCACCTCCCATATGAAGACAGGCTGAGAAAGTTGGGGTTGTTCAGCCTGGAGAAGAGAAGGCTGCGTGGAGACCTCATAGCAGCCTTCCAGTATCTGAAGGGGACCTATAGGGATGCTGGGGAGGGACTCTTCATTAGGGACTGTAGCGAAAGGACAAGGGGTAATGGGTTGAAACTTAAACAGAGGACGTTTAGATTGGATATAAGGAGGAAATTCTTTCCTGTTAGGGTGGTGAGGCAGTGGAATAGGTTGCCCAGGGAGGTTGTGAATGCTCCATCCCTGGCGGTGTTCAAGACCAGGTTGGACAAGGCCTTGGGTGATATGATTTAGTGTGAGGTGTCCCTGCCCATGGCAGGTTGGTTGGAACTAGATGATCTAAAGGTCCTTTCCAACCCTAACCATTCTATGATTCTATTCTACTCAAGCTTTAGTCTGATTTTGCATTGGTAAAATTTACCTGAGCCTTATTAATACTCCGAATACCAGTGGGTACTAACTCCTCCATTCCGCAGTATTGGATCCTAGTGAAATAATCTGATGATTCTTGGAAAGCTGACCAGCCCCAGCCAATGCTTTTTAGGAGGGGTTAGCATATACATTGATACCTTGCTTATTCAGCCTTTTTAGAGTGTTCTTTAAGTAGTCAAAAAGATAGTAAAGAATCCAAAATGACCGAATACAGATGTCTTACCACTATTATATGCTGTGAGTTTCAGTTTCCGTGAACTACACACCCCTTCTCTTCTGAAGGGCATTGTAACACATAATGTGAGATATCTCTATATAATAAAACATTTTTTATTTCATATTGCCACAACCCCTCCTGAATTTATACATTACATTCACCAGCAAAAATGCTTATGTGCCTGAAATAAAAGATGACGAGACAGGAATGTCATTGTATTTACTACTATTTCCTTGAAATTTCACATAGATTACCATTTCACACTGAAGATATGATTGCACTTTTACTTGTCAGGGAAAGGTGCAAGCCTGAATATATCTCTAAAATATCAGAATGTAATGAACTAACATAAGTGTTGGATTTAGAGAAAGAAATTAGTCTACTTCCAGTTACTGAATGCACACAGTCCATTAGTTCTTCAGTGTTATTAGAAGCTTTCACCCCTGTGGAGTCGTGACCTGTACACTGAAACAGTCTTTGCCATGGCGACCCCCTTCCCCCCACTTCCCTTCATATTATAACGTATTTTCCTGGTGTACAGACCGTGACTTATTTACACAGCACCATCAGTGATGCTAGTGATAGCTTGTTTTAATATAATCAGCTCTGTAATCAACTGACATGTTTGCTGTTAAATATTTAAAACTCTCATTGTCGATCAAAAATTTCATATGAACAATGTTAATTAAAGAGGAACGTACTTAAAATACTAGCTTTGTTACTAATATCAAGAAAAAGTTAACTATTTGGCTGGGTTTCTAAAGCAACTTTGCAGCTTTTGACCATGCAGATACCTAAACATGATTCGTGTATTCAGGACATAGAAAGTACAACAGAATGACTCAACAGTTCCCCATGCATTGTTCTGATGTATGGACATATACAGAGAGAGAATAATTACAACTGTACTGCATTCATACCAAATGTCTAATACATAGGAATCTATCATAATAGAACATCAGTGGCAAGTGTTAATATCAAACTACATGAACATAATGAACAAATGTTTCCTATATTCTTTGGCTTTGTTGATAGAAATGTTTCCATTAGTGATTTCAAGAACTGCCTCTTATAAGCAAGTCAAAATACATCACTGCTACAAAACCTAATATTACCAAGTTGTTAACTGCTTACTAGATGAGTTGCTTGGAGACAACCTTAAATTCTTAATAAAATATAATAAAAGAATTTCATTATCTATGTGTCCTGTGGGGTTTAGACCAAACATTTGTTTAGTATATTCTACTAAATTCTATGGTAATTTATTAGAGTAGACATTAATTTTACCATTGGGAAGTTTTCATATTTATGTATGATAGTAAAGGACTGAGAATCAACATGAACTTTAAATTTGAGCATAAATCGAAACGGTGTGAATAATGATTAGGAATTATACTATGCTATCATGTTCCAGAGTACAGGCTACATATACAAAATGCTACATATGAAAAACAAACATAACTATTTTACATTAATATAGGATTTTTAGTGTATTTTTTCTGATTCAATTAATCTAATTCAAAGGATTAAAATGCATTAAACATACAAGAGAGTTATAATGCAATAATTATTCAGTACTGGAAGTTCTTGATCCTCTGCTATTTAATCTAGAGCAATTCATACAAATATGTGAGTGTTGAGGAATACACATATAAATAGCACTTAATCAATGTTGCTCTCTAAAATACACTCACCTGCAACTTCAGAAAACTTCAGTATGGGCCAACTTCTACTTTGGCCAATTTAACTTTTTTGGGGTTTTGCATGCTGGGTCCTGTGCCAAAATCAATGTCCTGACACAAATTCTGATTTTGTGTAATGCTTATTGAACAAGGACTAAAAAGTAGAGCCTTCAAGAAAAGATATGATTCCTATCTCTATGAATAAGTATTGTCATATATTTTATGACTGCCTGTATCCTCACCCGGTTATATAAAAAAAAAACCTATTTGTGGTTTTGAGAAGTCAGCAGTATTACACTGATTAATTCCAGCTTGAAAGTAACTAATGTTAGTAACTCATGGTATGCCAAATTTGGACTTAATGTGGCAGCTTTATAACTATCCCCAAGGCAAACCTTAGTAAGTCTTCTGAGTAGCAGAGCTTAGTTATTAAAAAAAAGTTGGCCCGCATGAATTTCTATTCAAGATTTCTGATTGCCAGAATTAGGTAACAGCACTCTTAAATAGTAGATTATTAGAATAAAATCCCCCCAAAGTAAGTCCTCAACAAAAAAATAATGCTCACAGCAAATCTGATGCATTTTTTAGTGGGTTTCTTTGGCTTTTTTGTTTAAACAAAGAGAAAACAAAAATTTTCTGGCAAACAGTGTGCTGATCAGCCTTTGCTCCTGAGAAAAAGAGCTTCCTCATCCTTCTTTCGGTATAACCATTTCCATCATACATGCTTAGTAACTTAAAGAAAAAGTCTGAAAACACTTATGTGTTGGGTTTTTTTTGCATTTTCTTCACACAGAGTAGTTGTAAAATAAACTTGAAATATATATTAAAATACGCCTCATCAATTCACTTTTGTGTTGTGTTGTTTTTTTTTAATATACATCTGTATATGCATTCCCAAAAAGAAGAAAGTGCTGGTTCTCTTTGAACTTGAAAAGAAAACAGAGTAGAAGATTTTGGGTAAAAGTGTTTTTTTCTCAGCAAATTTACTTACCCCGGCAATGTACTCCTTCATCATACCCATCAGAACAGTCATAAACACCATTGCAGAGCTGGGACAAGTGAATACATTTGTTGGTACCAATGCAGCTAATGTAATTCAGGGCACACTTAAAATCTGCTTCCTCAGGACCTAAAAAAGAGACAGAAAATTTCTTATACATATTTTTATATCCACAACAAGGCAAAGAAAGTTCAATATTGCATTTCCACTTAAAAGCTAAGGGCAACACTCTATGTATTAGTCCATTTTGCAGATTTTAGTGCATTATCATTACTTTATTTAGGAGAATTAAAATAATCAGAAATGATTAGTTCAATTAAAAGGAAATCAATGGGCCAGAAGATAATTTCCCAAACTACAAGTGTTTTGCAGAGACTAAACTTAAGCTTTTTTTTTTTTTTAACATTAAAAAATATCATGAGATTTTTCAATTGCCTTGTGAATTTCATATTATATCAAGAGTCACATCAAGAGTAATAGGTACCACTATTTTCAGGCATTGTTCTGTAGACATGATTGTAGCTATTTATGAAATTACACATAAATGTTACATATTTACAGCTGCATTAGGTCAGAGAAACTGTTCCTCCAGGCCAGGAATCTGCCTCTGAAACTCTGCAGTACAGAGTGGTAGGGAGAAGATAAGGATGCTGAGATTGCTCCCTTTGGGATACCACTCTGGCTGCAATCATCTGTGTCCCCTTATCTCTGTAAAGGAGTATTTTAGATACTCTTTTATCTTTAGAAAGGGCTCTGACTGATAAAAACCCCACAACATAATTTCACATGATAAAGACTGAGATTTTTAGCACACTGCAAAGATCATATAGAAGTCTGAAGGGTTTAGGTCATTTAGAGGATGAATCATAATTTATACACACTATACGATTAGCTAAACAGAGACTGAAGGAGTTGAAATTTTTCAGGAAACAACTTGGAGCTCCTTGATTGCTCTTGTTGGAGCCTTGGATCTGTGCTTAGCTCTAACAGATTGTAACAGTTCCCAAGGGAAATATATCTTAGGATTCACTGTGCTAAAGTGCAGTATGCTTGTACCTTCTTAGAGGTACTAACTCTAAGGCAAAGGACAGAAATCATAAGCAGCAGCTAGAAGTTCCCTGATAACTGGGGAAAACTCAGTTTTGGCAAATCTTGCATCCTGATGTCAGCAGGACAAAGCAAAGGAGAACTCTGGGGGGAGTTTATGATTTCTATAATGAATACAGACAGCTTCTAGCACAGCCCATTAAATAAAAATCCTAACTTACAAAACTTGTCCTAATTAAAAAACTTAAATTAAAAATTCCCCCTGCTGTCAGGAAGTTGTCCACCATTTAGAGTGTGCACAACAAAATACCAATTTTTCATGGCTTACAGTGGTTTTTCATGGTTTTCATGGTTTACAATGTATTTGCCTGTATTCTTTTAGGCAACTCCCATTGGCACAGGGTGTTTCCCTTCCCCAAGCAGAGCATGTGCCCTAAAAAGCATGCATCTACTATGAAGGAAGACATGAACAAAATGTAGCTTCTTCCTTTCATCTCTGACCTTTCCAGCTTCACACTTTGCATCAATGGAGTGACACCAGATACATCCGTGATGTACCACTGATTAACAGAAACAGGGCACACTGATACTAGGGATAAAAAAGGCAGTGTATATGGGAATGAATGCACTCTGCCTCAACAATTTGTGTACTTCCAGGTGGGAAAAACAAACAAACAAACATTTTTTATTGTGGCTTTGTGCTACATACTGTTTTTCAAGAAAACTGCATTCCTAAACCAAGGGTAAGGGTCTAAATATCTTTTGAACACAAAACCAACACCTGTTCTGAATGTGCTCTAGGTTAAATAATTGCTAAGTGAATGTAGAGGTATTAAAACACTTCATAAATAATACATTTTTCTTGTTTTCCAGTAAAATGTAGGAGAATATTAACAACAGAAATCAGAGAGATTATTAAAACCTATCCTACATGTTTGATATGAAGACCACAGTAAGAAAGGAGACAGCTGTGACCTTCTGGTGCTGGCAGAGACTGCTGCATCATGGGGGCAGCGTGGCTCCATGCCCTTCCCAGGCTGGGTGTTGAGGGTTTGGTTTTTTTTTTTGGCTCGGGCTTCAGGTATTCTACTCCCTTTTCTGTTACCTGGATGTAGAACACTTCATCCCATGAACCATTCTGTGCACATGTGCACATAAAGCTCCCTACGATATCAACAACCTCTGGCAGTGCCTAGCGTTCCTCCAGAACTGGTTTAACTCTGCTGAGCTTTCAAAGAACATAAATAAAGCAGCTTTGGAGAGCCAATGGCAGGTAGGTTTAATTTGGTTTCCATTTCAGTTGCATCAGGACTCAAATACACCTAACACTTTACTAAACCAAACTAATTTTCTGATTTGCCATTTATAGCTTGGCTTGTTCACTGCATTAGAGCAACTGTGAACAGAGCATGTGGAATGAAAAAAAAATAATTTTCTTCTACAGAAGAGAACATTCATTAGAAAAACTTAGGTCTGTGAAGCATGTTAACCTGTATTACTTATATATAAACCCAAGACTGCTAGAGGGCTTTCAGCATTCATTCCTTATCAAAGAGAAAGCTGAGATTTGTGACCAAAAAATACATAAAGCATAAATATATAAGCATAAATATTTATCCTCTAAACTTAATGAGTGAAAAGAATGAATCTCTTAACTAACTTCTAAACTCTCAGTAGGACTACTGAGTCTGATATTCTCCTGTCTACAGATTTTGGGATTTAATTTTGATTTTATGCTTCCTGCTTTAAAAATACAAGATTCCTTCAGGACACAAACATCCTGCAATTTTAAACATACTCTCTAAATTAAAATACTAGTAGGGAGCTTCCTAAATTAGATTTCTTTGATTGCAAACTGCGCATGGGAGAAAACTGAAATATGCTCCAAGAAGTATTATTCACATTGTTTTGTTTTCAAGAGAAATGTTATGCATTACTTGTGAAAACAGAAAGGTTAAGATGAAAAGAGATTAACTGATTCATGTGATTAAGATAAATTCATACATACTTTCTGTTTCCTTACTAGCATGATACTTTGGAAGTCAACTTGATTTATCAATGAAGATGAACGTCAGTCAAAAAAAGCCTTATCTTATAGAAGACTTGTGACCTATTTTGTCTGCAAAATTACTCTAAAAGGTCTCAATCATCCACAGGCAGTGGAACCAGGCAGCATGTCCCAAGCCCTCCCTGCCGACACTTCCTACCCCTTTCATTGGACAAAAAAATTAAGCTAAACAAAGCTTCATGTTTGGATACCCTTGAAGCAGCTTTTCCCACTGACTCCTACCCAGCAACTGCATTTTCTGAAACGCCTAATGCAAATAAAGATGAGTGGCTTTTTATCTTGTTTACCCCTCTTCCCTCTTCCTTTAGCAGACAGTCACTTCTAGCAGCGTTATCAAGTGAACTTTGGGAAAAGGAATTTAAAAGTGTTCTTCTTCAAAATAATCTCAGTGTATTTTACATCAGTGCAAGAATGCTAAGAATATAAAAGACAGATGGTGTCTTTTCTTCCCTTAGAAAGACAAAGTAATTCCCAGCCTTGCTGGTTGGTGGAAAAATTGTCAAAACTACTGGCTGTAATTATGGTAATACAACATCTCGATGTTTCAAACACTCATACCAGGACACCACTTGGAGGGTGGAGAGGATAGAAGCAACATTGCTTATGCAGTGCTGTGCAGCTCAAGAGATTCTGGCTCAGGAAGCAGAATATCTAACTCTCCCCTTGGTGTAACTGTCTGATGGCTAAACAAGAAATGGTAAAAAAGCCTAACTGCAGAAAGATGAGCCAGGGCCAGAGGGATCTCCCTGGGCTTGGCAGCTAGGGGCATCCCACCCCAGCTGGTGGGTGGCTGGGGCAGCCTCAGCCTGCGTCATTGGGCACCTCCATAGGGATGAGCCACCAGGTCTGCCCACAGAAGGGGGGGTCAGGATCAGGATGGCCATTTCTGATGCGGTCAACCTGTGTCAAGGCTCACTGCACCTTCCCAGCATGTGAGAAAACATGGAAGAAAACTGCACCATGTTTTCACAATACCTGTGCAGTCTACAGTAAATCTATCTGCAGTCCCTTCAATGAAAGTGCCCTTACTTCAATGGGGTTTGAGAAAAGTTAAGAGACTTTTTATGACACCCTTCAGCAGGAGACAATGGGATCTATCCAGCACAACCTGTGGTTTCCCACTGAAGAAGCATCATGAGAAAGTATTAAAGGCCTCTATCAAAATTAGCAGAGAGATTTTACCATGCACTTTGGTCATGGTATCTGTCTTGAGTTTGTGCTTAATCAAAAATCTACCCGTCCCACTTCAGGATCATGCTACACTTAATTTCAAAGAAGAGAGTGCAAGTAGAATCTACAAGCTGATTATTTCAACTGGGTTTTGTTATCACAAGAAATATACAAGTGCTTATTAGCAAAAAATTATGGATGAACATTATTTCATTATGTACATTTCCTTCTTCTAGAAACATTGCCCCAAATTTAATGTAAATTAAGGTATAAATTTGTGTGCTAAGATTACTGAGAAGTTACAAAGTATGAATAAAAGATATTCGCAAAGGCTGCAGAGATAGCCAGACAAAAGAAGACATATTGGAATGCTCAGCACAAATTCAAGGTCCACAAAAAGTTACTAAATTACAGTAAAACACCCCCCACACACTTCTTGCAAATTTATCTAGAGCTGCTCATATTTGACAACTGCTTATAAAAAGCATCAAAGCTGCTACTTCTGAATATATTTTTTCACCATTGTCTTTCTCAACTAAGTTTTTAAAAAGTGCTTTATCTTGCAACATCTCAGGTAATTAGTCAGACTTTTAAATAAGAGATTAGGCAGCCAAATGTAGTAGATCCCTTTTAAATTACTGCACCCAATTTACTTTAAGACCGGCAATTTTCCAGCAGCTCTTATCCTGCACTGTCCTCAGCCACAAGAAACAATTAAAGCAAAGTATGGGATGCCTTCAAAAATTCTCATTTGTGTTGTACATCAGTGACTTACAGATCCATTTTGCTCTCTTAAGTGTCCTTAGGGAATGAACCTTCTCCACAGTGAGCAGTTACCCTGAAC